AATATCATTAAAAGTGCTGTCTTCAACTTCTTGATCAATGAAAAGTGTGACATTGGTTTCTGGGCCCAAAAGATAGCTAGGAAGTGGTAACTCTTGGCACAATTTATTAATGCTTTTTTTGTAATCGACTATCAATGGTTTCACTGATTCAACTTTGAATTTATCAACAATACTTTTTATTGGACTAATGTCAGAAAGTGAACATTTGCTTCTGAGTAGTATTAGTATGTCGGAATTTGATTGGCAGAATTCCAGTTGATCTTTAAGGTCAGGGTCATTATATCTGAGATACTTCCTCAGCTCCTTAATGGATGGAGACTCTTTCATGGCTCGGGTTACATTGGCAATAAGGTGATTCAGTTTTTTATTTATTGTAACGAGATGTTCTATTACAACTCTTTTGCTTAAATGAAGATCAATATCTATGAAAAAAATGATGTAATGTCGCCATAAGTTGGCTATACCTCCATCATGCTTATGAGCTATCCAATAGCCTATAGATTCATTGTATTTGCTATCTGTTATATCAAATAAAATTTATTCTTACAGTAAAATATAAGTGATGCTTACTGTATTGCCGTAACATGTTCAGTCCTAATGCTGCTGTACTTTCCATCATTTGAAGTGCATAAGCTAATTTTTCAAGGTTATGGTGATTAAGGCAAACACCCTCCTGTACAGCTTCTAGTAATAATTGCACATTCTCAGACAGAGTAGAATGAAGTAATATTTCTCCTACTATATCCTGTAAATATATAACACACTGGGGTAGGGCATCTTTAAATTTAGCCTCATTTTGTGCAAAAATGCAACATGCAGGATGTTCTGTATTAAATAAAGAGATCAAATTTTCTCATTATTATAGTCACATCTTACTTTCTTCATGAACTTCATTTGCCACTAAAACTGCCCCCATTTTATGTAAGGCATTTTTCAATGCAAAAACAGTTGGGCTACGATTATTCTTTGTACTCTCAGCTTTCTTTAGCCAATGAGCTAAACATTGAGTCAGACACTCAGAGGTGTTGTCACATTCCCTCTCAATGCTATCCATAGTATCTTCAGAAAGTCCTAAGTTTACTCCAAGAACATAATAATCTGTGTCAAGAAAGCCATGCCTTAGCAGTAGATCTTTAACTTTGTCAAGACTCTCTGCACCTATTAGAACATTTCCTGTTTAACATGTCAATTATTTTCTTACCAAGGAATTCGTCTTGCAATACTGCAAGATGTGCCATTTGCTGCTCTGAATAGAAAGGTGAAATGAAATAGGCTACACCAATTCATGTTATAATGATTATAAAAAAGGTCATACACCCGCTAGTATGAATTACATCAAGGAACAATAGATAGATTGTACCACTTGTCTCATTCATACATCTAATCTATATATGAATTGCTTGTGCTACCTGTCATTCTAGTTACATACATACATACATACATACATACATACATACATGAAGTAACGGAAGTGACGTTTGAAAATTCACCTGTGACCGCTCCCACTTTCTTGCTGCCACCCGGTTACACCTCTTTTCTGGTCCGCTCTGTCCCCTTCGAAGCTTCAGAAGCTCATTTGTAACCATCAAAAATCGTTGACTATTTTAACCCCTTTAAAACTGGTATGGTGGTTATTACTAGATCAGGTGAAACTGTCTTTTCACTAATTTTTGGTTGCTTTACTTATATATTTAGGAAGTTCATATGAATTAAGTGAGCATCAACTTACATGTAGGAAGCTAAAATATGGAGTGGCACCAGTAAGTACAGTGCAGACTAACTACTGAGTCTGAGTGCACCAGTAGTGGCCTTAGTCTCGCTAGCCAGACCATTCCCCAGCCTACAGTCCACCCCAATGACTGTAGGCTGGGGAATGGTCTGGCTAGCGAGACTATAGTGGCCTTGGACTGCAGGGACTAACTACTGAGTGCACCAGTGACCAGTAGTGGCTTTGGACTGCAGGGATCGGCATTTTCTTCCACTTTACTGCGGAGGTTTGTTCAGTTCAGTATTGATGTTGAAAATTTGATAATAAAATTTGCACAGAAACTGCTTCTGAAATTGCCACTAGATGGTAAGAGGACTGTGAAAAACTAAGAATAGTGACATCTTGTGTTACAGAGCTAAAATGATGCCGGAAGGTGGCACCACCCATGAATGACTCATCTGTGTGGTATAGAGGACATGGCTGAGTTGGAAAAATGTAGTATTACAACTGTATGCATATTTCTAATAGCATTAATTAATTTTGCAAAACTGTTAGTCTAATGACAATTTCTCTTATTAATCGATAAAATTTGGCCTATGACCTAAGGCTATAGCCTTACATTGTTAGCCCAATTTTTGCAACTTTAAAAATTTATTAAAAATCTAAATTTGACCAGAATTAGCTCAAAGTTGATGATACACAGCATGTATATGTATCAGAAAAAATGATCAAAATGAAGATTTCCTTCTTA